CTCGGACGAAGTCTGTTTCTTTTCGAGCGTCCATCATGGTCAATTGTTTGGTCTGAAAACAATCAGATAAATACGCCTCATCTGCAAACCCTTCAATGGTACTTGGCCGACTAAATAAGTTTTCATAGTCGTCGAGCATGCATATTGCCCAATGCAGCCTGATATTGTCGGCAGTGGTGTTCATCTCCAATTGCCTGTACTTGTTGCATATTATTAATGCAAACAAGCTAGTGCTCTGCCAGGTACGTGACAATTTTCTTAATAGATTTTCAGGGAGATCTTTAACAGACATACTCGAAGGACACTAACTGCACATTCCTTCTACGCCAGCAATGTCCTTGTGCACCTTCCGGCAATATACGGCTTTGACAATCGGCGATCGATAAACAGTTCTAGGTAAATTGATGCCAATTGGTGACCACTGATTTCTCTTTGGCAAAATGGCCCGCCTTTTCAGTTTCGGGACCCCAGTATATTACTAGCGTTGTAAAACTAAACTGCAGTTTCCACCGTCACAGTTTTATTAATTAACACATTCCAATACGAAATGCATCGGTAGAAGGATGAAGCTCAAGTCATACATTCCATGAACAGGAGTTTTAAGAAAGAAATGCTGCGAAAGAGAATCCCTTCGAAGGAGTAGTTTGCAGTAGAGAAATTCGAAAAAATGTCGTCAATGTCAAAGGGAACGCATTTACAAATAATATTGGAGAGTGGAGCAGTTGACGGAATGTCTGCTTAAATGGAGGCTTTACAAAATATATTGAGGAAGATTGAGTGTACTTTGTAAAAAATTCCTCGTAGTCATGGAGAGGACGATACTGTTTGTTGGTAGCCGGTCTGTGTCCAACAGGTACGACCCTATCGGACGGTTAAGTGAACAAAACACACCCCTTATGGAAAAACAAACGGTGGATTGGCATGGCATTTTAAAAGGCCTTGCGACTCCTTTATAGTACTATAACAGAATTGGGTACGTTTGCGACATAGTCAGGTGTCTTTCGGGAAAGGGTCTGTAAAACTGTGCGTCTACATTTCTCAGCCTCTTGATACCACTAAACGCGTTTGGGGACTTAACAATGCAAGTTCAAGACGTGCGCAGTGACATCCCTGAATCCTTGGGTAGCTCTGGCTGGTAAGCCTGCAGCAGTGGAAACAACTACTTCATTGTGATCAATGGAAATGGTGAATTCATTTATAACGTCAGCAGTTCTGTCAGCAATTACTTTCTTTTAACCATGTCCGCACTCTCACTAATAGCCGACGTTCTATATGATATAGTACCGGGGTCGGCAACCTATCGCTCGCGAGCCACATATGACTCTTTTGATGATTGCGTATGGCCCTCTCAGAAACTTCACATTTTGTGATCTTGGCTACTCTTTAGGGGTCTAAGTAGTGGGATGTACTCGGGTTACTCCTATAATCGGGGCAAATCTCAGGTTGGAAGTTAAGAGACAGAAGTCAACAGAAAGAGCGATTTATTATGTACAGAACTCCATTTGTTGTCCCAGACAACGGTGGCCACTGGCGAAGCCAG